GGGCCGGGCCGGAGCGCCGCATCCAGCCACGGCCGCTGGTGGAAGCCGGCGGGAGCGCTGCGAGCCTCCTCGCCTCTCCGCGGGGCGGCGTGCACGGACACGTGGCGCTCGCTCTCGGCCCGGCACCGGGGAACAGCGGCTGTGAGCGGAGCCGGAGCCTTCTCCGGCCTTGTGCCGGAACAGAAGCGGCTCCGCAGCATCAGGGGAGAGCGGTATTGCACAGCCCCGGCCATTTTCCTTGCGCTGCCAGCCCCTTCTCGCCGGGGCAGCGCACGGTGAGGGCGGCCCTTGCCTTTGTCGCGGCTGCGGAGCCACCCCAGAGCTCGGGCAGTGCGGGGACTCGGCCGGGGGCACGCCACTGCCAACCTGCCACGGCAGCACAGGAGCCGTGCCAGTGCTCCTGCAGCAGGAACGCTCCTGCCGGCCCCTTCCTTGCCCTGTCCCTCCCGCTCACCCGTCTGCTGGCACACCCTTGGTCACTCCGCTGGCGACAGCCTGTGGTAGCACAAGCCACAGCTGGGTCCGTCCTGGTGTGCGGCACCAGCAGAGCAAGGCTGCTGGCTGAAAGGTGCAAGGCTGGGCTGTTGCAGGAGGTCACAGGGTTTAGTGCATGCAGGTGTAGGGGGATGCTTACACCTTCTTTCCACCCCCTCTCTCTTCATCTGCTTTTTACAGCCTCTCCCGACAACGCTCCTGCATCCAAAAGTGCCTTCAGAGAATCAAGGAAAGTTTCCTTGCTTTGCTTTCCTTTCTATTGCTTGAATTAACACCTACCTTCTATGGATCTGCTACATAATTCATATTTTGCTGTGGAGAGTGAGATGTTCTCCCTCTTACACGGGGAAGGAGCCATATGTAGTTCTACTGCAAAGGTGAAGGGAAGTTTACCTATTTTTCTGCAATAGTACAGTGATCATTCATAGTAAAAGCCCATAATAGGTTATAGCTTACCATCATTTCATCAGATGTAGGAGATGAATATGATACATCACAAAACATTCCCTATAAATACTCCCCTTGTAAGCACTTCAACACCAAAAAGCAGGAAAAAACTACATCGTCATCGAAAAACATGCCTAAAGGCAGGAAGGAAGAGTGGGAGCTAGAGCTGCACACAAACCTGCTGATTCACACAGCTGCTCTTTTTGTGAAATCTCAGATGCAAAGGTGGAAGGCACGGAGTGAAAATATTGGCCTGTGATTTGATCAATTAGTGCAGATGGTCCTGGGCCTGAAGGAAAAGTTCATGAACCTTTGTACCTCTGAAATAAAAGAGCTGTGAGGAAGCTGCCACAGTACTCCCTCTGCTCATGGCATTAATGCACAGAGAAAGGTGCAATTCCTGGCAAATTCTCACTAAAATGACCTCTCACTAGAGGCTGATTCATCACATTTTTGGCTTCAACCAGTTCAGCTTTTTTAAACATTTAGAGATCCTTTTATTTCTGTGCTAAACTTTGTTTCCATAATTTTCATTCATACATATTTCTCTTTATAACTGTATCAAGCCATAATAAAAACCACTATATTTTTCCTTTGAGGCCTCATATACACTAATTTAGCTGCGCTTACTTTTTTGTTTATCATGGAATCACAGAAATCGGCATTTACAGACCATCTTAAATGTCCAAAGTATCACACAGACATTAACTAATGCCTTTTACATTGGATTTGCCACACGGCATCAGACTACCAGCCAGTCTAATCCAACATCCTGTTACCAGCAATAGCCAACTGCCTTTACTTCAGAGGAAGTAAATGCCACCAACTACCCCCAAAAGAGTTACAGCCCTCTTCCAGGCAAATCCCTGTGACCGACTTTTTTTTTCTTTTCAGAAATATTTTCAGGCTCCAGATTCTGAAGATGGAGGTGAGTAATTTTCTCTTTATTGTATGTGTCAATAAAAGAAGGTAAAGAAAGCTGCCACCATCAGAGCACTTCTCCCCAAGGCACAAAGCTTATGGTCTCAGCCTAGGTATTTTGGCACAATTTTCCTAATGCTCGCTTTCAGGTCGCTTGAATGGAGATGAAAATAAATAATTCATTGAAATATTTAATTTTCAGTAGTAGAAATTTTAAAGTATAAAAGCTGACAAACTTGACAGAAGGTCAAAGCATGCTTATTTTGTGTGGCCCCATCTGATTAAACAATTAATTTCTTATCCAATGGTTATGGACATTGCTTTCACTCCACAGAAGGAGTTTTGCTATAACATAAGTTTTAGTCCACCAGTACACTCCTTTCTGGCAGAGACACTGATTGGATTTGGTCCCACTCACTAGCACAGGGCTGGGGAAAATGGCAGCCCATACACAGGGGCAGTGTGACACCCCACACCGTATCTTGCCCTGGTTCTTCTAGCAAACCTGCAGCAGCAGGATGGCAGTGGAAGCTGGGCTGGAGAGGATATGTTTTACAACAATATAAAACATCTCTCACAGTGATGCAAATGCACACTGTTCTGCATGCCCTGATAGACCCCAAAGGGAGAGTAGCTGCCCTCCAGATCCAGATCTGCCACTGGATTGATCAGATGAAAGAAACATATTTTTAATCCCAGACTCAAAATTTGTATCCTGCCATTCAAACTGCCAAAAACCTTCCACAGCCTTGTGAAAACAAATGGTACTTCTTACCCTCCTGCACACATCTGCCCATTCCTTCCTTCCCATGGTGGAGTTCTGTAGCAGGTTGATGCTGGCTGGATTCCAGGCACCCACTAAAGTTTCTCTCACTCCCCTCTGCAGCTGGACAGGAGAGAGAAAATATAACAAAGGGTTCATGAGTTGCAATAAGGACCAGAAGAGATCACTCATCAGATATAATCACGGTCAAAAACAGGCTAGAATTAGAGCTAGTAATTGAATTTATTGGTAAAAAAATTAGAGCAGGATAATAAGAAGTAAAATAAAACCTTCAAAACACCTTCCCTCCACCCCTTCCCCTCCTTCCTGAGCTCTACCTCCTCCCCCAGCAGCACAGGAAGACGGGGAATGGGGGTTATGGTCAGCTCATCACCCATGGCTTCTCACGCTGCTCAGGGAGAGGAGTCCTTCCCTTCTACTGTGGGTTCCTCCCACAGGGGACAGTTCTCTATGAACTTCACCAGCCTGAGTCCATCTCACAAGCAGCAGCTCTCTGTGAACTGCCACAACCTGAGTCCATCCCACCGTCAGCAGCCCTGCTCAGCCTGCTGCAGTGTGGGTCACTCTTCCACAGGGTGCAGTCCTTCAAGGACAGGCATTACCACCATTTCTAACTGGTGGTTAGCCTTGAACAGAAGCACATCCATCTGTGGAGACACCAGGGATTGGCTCTGCTGGACATGGAGGAAACATCTAACAGCTTCTCACCGAAGCCACCCCTGTACCCCCACTGCTACCAAATCTTGGCCATGCAAACCCAATACAACTTAAAAGTTACTGAACTCTGTTCAGGTGCCACATATGCCAACAGTACTCCAATTTCAAAGTAACTTCACTTCTGGTAGATGCCACTGATAAAATATGATTTCTGATGGTAGTGCTCAGCTAGAAAATGTCTCATGACAGTCTAAGCACTACCAGAGGAGAAAAAGCATAGTCTTAGAGATAATGTTACTTTAGGCTGTCACACAATCTATCCTTGGCCATGAGCCTTGGTAACGTTACCATCCTATATGACCTCCTTCTCCCCAGTGCTGTGTGTCCCTGCAAAGAGGGTGTGCTTTACCTGCTCCACGCCGTTTGTTCTCTCCTCCACATTGCTGCCCAGCCAGCAAACCAAAAGATTAAGACAGCTTCACTCTACAGACAGGCTGCTACAGACACCCTGAGCTCCCAGCTCAGTCATCAAAGACTTTTTGGCCTCAGAGGACTCTCTCACAAACCCTTTTTTCTCAGAGAGAGCTCTTAATGCTAAGATGCAGGACAGCTACTCACATTTTTCTGTTTCCACCAAGCCCCCACATCCAGATTCCAGTGGGAAAGCAGGTAGCTGTCATCACATCAGAGATGCTTTTTGTTTCTTGGAGCTGCCAGCAATGCCGGGCCTCATTCTAGAAAACAGCATCTCCCACTTGGGCATACGTGACAGACACACACACATGCTCTTGTTCCTTTGCCTTCTTGCTGGTAACACCTCTGTGACCTATTCATTGGCAACCTGTTTGAAATGGGATTTGTGCAGGAATAAATCAGTTTTTAAGTGCTTTCAGAAACCTCACAGTCCATTAGGCTCCTGTAGATTATACCTCTCGTTTTGCTTTTGTTTTTTCCCTACTTCCTTCTGCACACCTCTCCTGGTCTGCTAGCCCTCAGTTAAACTTCCAGTATCATATACTGGAACCCATGCACATTTTTCGTGTTTAGCAGAACATTATTCATTATTAATATTCAGAGTAGATGTAAATAGAGCAGCTCATCTCCAAAAAACTATTAAAGCAACATGGGAAAAACAAGAATAAAAGAGAAGTCTTGGCACAACATCCACCCTTTTGCCTTGCTAGGGTACTTGAGTTCACAATCTGCTGATGAAGATCAGGTTAGGACTAAACCTGGCCATGAGCATCATCCTTGCCATGACACTTCCCTTCCTGGACTACCACAAACATGCACTGCATTAAGAGATTTTTTCTTTCTGTAACTTGATATGCAGCATACAGTTGCGTTACAGTCACCAGGGCTGTCATGCTGCCATGGGAGCCATAAGACTCAGCTCACAACCTGGAGTTTATAGGGATTTGGGTCTTGAAGCTGCACTACATTTGTTCTGTACGTATAGGCCTGTACCAGAGAAGCTCAAAAAAAATCATCTCCTGGAAACTACCCAGAGCTTTTCTCTTGAGGGAAACAAAGGAGGCCTTAATTAATTTTCTTTCAAATACAGCAAATTGACTTCTGCTCCAGTTGTGCTAGTTTCAAGCCACACAGCACAGTGGTATTAATTCCACTTCACTTAAGGTCTAAATGTTCAGAGCAAGGAAAAGGGAGTTTCCTGTAGGTCTTGCTATGGTTGAAGTCAACAACCAAACCACCCTGGCTTTTGCAGGAACAGTTTCTTCAGAGTCTGCATTCCTGAGGGTGACTGTGACATGTCCCTGGGTTAGCACAGCAAAATGCAGGATACATGAAAGGCACTGGCTGAGCAAATTTCCTGGTCTTTTGCATATTTTTAAAGGTCTGCCACATCCTGGCTCAGATTTCATTTTACAGGCTCAAAGATAGAAGCACTTTTAGTGCCCTCTCCTAAGGCTAGTTTACTGGTTCACTGATAATCCTAAATAGCCCTGCTGTCTCAAATGTAATTTAATCTTTTTTAACACCAGAGTATTGCCTGCAGGATTTCCCAACACTGGAATAACACACAGTGCTCTGCACAGGGTCTCCTCAGTATCTTGCAAACCAGTGGTGTACTCCCTTACTATCAGAGACACTTTGCCCAATAAACCAGAAGATCTCATTTCCTTCTTAGCATTTGCTTCATTTGGGTACAATCAGCCCATGTCCCAGAGAACGGCACTCAAATCCCAGCAGAACAATTTGCAGGACATAGTGCCACTATGTCCTATAGCAGCCATCCTGCACAGGTATCTCACTGTGGCGTTCTTCAGCGCCATAGACCTGTACTAGCACCATCTCATGAATCTCATCCTAACACTGTCCTAAAAAGCATGAGAGTTGGCATAAAAAATTGTACAACACAACCCAAATCACTGGGCACAGTGAGCCTGTATAGGAAGCACCAGTTCTACAAAACTGTTATAATAAACTATCCATCCCACCCCCTTTAGTACGTTCAGTGATACAGTAGCTGCATCACTATTGATGTTACAGTAGTAAAGGGGATCAAAGGGGGTGAAGGACAAGACCTCCTTCATCATAAAATCCTCGAAGCAATTTAAGCTACCTTCCAACCATCTTTAAATCCTCCCACTGCCAAGTTAATCTAATATATTTAATGTACAGCTTCATTATCACATTGACTATGCACTGCTTAGGGAAGGTGCTATTATTCCTCTTCACAGATGGAAGAGGGTGGTACAGATCCCATAGATACCAACTCATACCGTTTGCTTAGTAAAAAAGTAAAAAAGTGACAAGCAAAGAACTGAACCTGTTCCTGTCTAACATCCATTGTTCTCAACCTTTCCTTCTTTCCAACAACTTCATGTTCCATGATTTCCCAAAAAGCAGCTTAATTTACTCTCAGTTTCTCCTCTGTCAACTCTGAAAATAAAATTAAGAAAGTCAGGCATCTCTTGACTAATTCTTCAAAATTAAAGGGAGCTGTAGAAGTCTTTCTATTACACAGTAGGTTTTTATTACAGGATATTTGTTATTCCCACAGGACATTTGAATTCCCACCTTTTCTTTCTGCATGATTTTGTACCGTTTAAGGCTACATACAGATTCTGTACACCTCAAGAAAGCAACAAATCTTCTTTCTTTATATAAAAATCAGCCCTTTTCAAACTGCATACTAGAACTACTGTCTGCTGACTTTCATATTTTGTGAGGCAACATCTGGCACAAAAATTGATTGCAAATATGATCAGTTAGGAAGATTTTCTTCTAGCAGTCTTCCAGTTGGCTTTATTCCCAGAAATCAGCCCAATGGAAAAGAAAAATCTATTTGGCACTGTCTCCAGCTGCAATTCCTCGTTCTTCAGGTAGAACAGTTTCCGCCCTTGGGGAGGTTTTGCTGACATGTGATTCAGATGATGGGTTCTGAACTGCACTGGAACTGGTATGGCCTCTGGGGTTCTGGACAGATGCTCTCTGATCCTTAAGGAATTCAGAATCCTAGCTCATGCTGTAAAATAATAGAGGTTATACCCTCCAAAGTCTAAGCATTTAACTATAGGTATAACTTGAGGAATTTAAATGTAATCCTATCATTATGGGTAGTAGGCTTCAGCTGCAGACATTCACCCATAATTAAGCAGAATTATTCATAAGGGGCTTTGGCCGAAGTCATGGCAGTGTTGGTAGCTCAGGTCATTGTTAAACAGTGGTAAAACATCAGGGCCAACTCAGGCCTGGGCCACCTCCTGTGGACCTAATGTGTGAGAGGGATGCAACCCTGTCCACGTGTGTTCATTTTGCCTCCATGAGTGGGGTATTTGTCTTCCAGTTCTCTGAAGTCAAGAGTAGGCATCATGGGTTTAATGCCTCTCTGCCTTTCTCCTCAGGCTGTAATAGACACCAACGCAGGCTGAGTGCATTGGCCCCATATACATCCTCTACACTCCATAAGCATGGGTGTACAGATAACAAAACAAGGAGAGGCCCAACTTCCCACTCCTGACCCGTCTCATACTCCCTGCTATGCATCACTCCCAGATGACAGCAGAAGCAAACAGCAAATCTCTTCCTTCTGGGTGCCAGCTCCTTGGCACAGCACCATCAGGCAAGACCAAGTACAACCTAGTAATGAAAAGTAGCTCATATTTAAATTGGAACATTAAATACTATATCCTAGAATACTGTGTTCTGATGTGGCTTCCGATAGGTGAAGGAGGAGTGATGTGAGATTTCTGCAGTCCTAAAAATACCTAACTGATAAAATCCAAGGAGTGGTGAAAGTAAAATCAAACAAAAAGAGAATTAACCTTATTATTCAGCTAATAAACACATCTGATTAGTTAAAAGAGAAAGAATTTAAAATTTCCAGTCTCAATCTGACAGTTTGTTCTGTTTGATTACACTTCGCATTTTACCTCCCTGGAAGAGCATCACCAGCAATGTCGCATTTCCCACTGTTCTTAAACAGCTTCATGTTGTGATTTCCAGGCTGTGCTAGAATAAATAGCGCAGCTTGGGAACTGAAGCAGTATGCAAGACTGATCATTTGCTCAAAACCAACAGTTTTCAAGAAAATGAATGGGATGTAATTGCATTTCAGCTTCATGAAAATGTAACCATGCAGCATTAGGATGTAGCCTTCCTGTTGAGTTTACACTCAATGGCACTCGCTTATTAGAGACTATTTTGGGTCACTGCATTATTTGTATATGGACAGTAGCTCATGAACATGCAGTCTGTAGTCCTGCATGGATCACTCCAGTGGTGTACTCCGACCTTTCATAACAAAGACATGCTCATACTCATTTCAGGTATTTACCTCATCTGAAGTTTGCTCTATGGCCTTGGGGCCAAATCCTCCATGATTCAACGTGTGCAAAGGCTGCATAATTCCCTCATGACCAGTGAGTTCTCTAAAGAAGCCAAGCCTGACCAGAAGAACTGCGTGCATTAGGTTCAACAGATACATCTGAGGTTTGGTTTATGACAACATAGGCCAATATTCTAATTGCTCCAGAAATAACCACTGACAACAGAATATCTTGAAAACCAAATAAAATCTACCTTCACGTCTATATTTGTTTCCATGGAAATATGCAGTGACAAGGTTTTTTCCCCTCATTTTCTCTATCAGCCGACCATATTTTTATTCAAACAGCCCTGGTAACTGACTAGGTTTACCCAAATACAAAACTACTGCAGATGTGCCAAACTTGCACAAAGCCAAATAGAGAGCTGTTCAGCGTGACCCTAAGCGTGCAGCAACCCTACTGCCGGTCCTCAACAGAGAGAGACAACTCTGCAGATCCTTACAGCCAGGGACCAACAAAATCTTTTCATTACTGAGGACTAACTGGTTTCAGTGAGACAGCAAACAGCACACACTATGGTGTTTCCCAGCAAGATGAACACAAATAACAACTCACCATCAGCACACTGGCCTTAGACTCCAGCTTTATATTAAAGAAACAGTATTTGCAATGCAAGTCTGTCCCCAGTGGCTGCCAAACATTTTGCTTCTGGCTGTAACCCTCTGCATTGCCCCCCACCGTATGTCACCGTTCCCAGCTACCTCAGTCCCCATCTCTTCTCTGCTTCCCTGCTCTGTGCATCTGCCCCAGCCAGAAGCTCCGTTTCCCTAGAGACTCTGACGAGGGTCAGCCACAGATGACAACATTAGACAAGGCCTCTGAGCAGTGGGGACAAGTGCCTCAGCTTTGGGCAGTTACTTTGAAGTCTCTCAGGATGCTGCACACTCACCACACCAGAACAGCCTGGCAGGGGGCCACAGAGGACAGAGGTCTTGCCACCTCTCCCCAGCAGGCAATCTGTGGCAGCAGGAAGAAGGGAAAGGCAAGCTGTGCCAGGACTGCAGGCAGAGCAGAAGCACAGAGTGACAAAAACCAAAGGCAAAGTAAGGGAAATGTGAAAAAAGGAAGCAACACTGAAATCTCATAGAGGACTTTGGCCTTTGTCAGGTTGTTACACTGACATTGTGGTATGCTGGGCTTTGGACCTTGGCTATAAGGCAAGCCCAGAGTACAAAGTCAAATGGGACTTTTTGTTCAGCATTATCACATATCAGGCTGTAAAATCACACACACTTGGATGGGCTGCAGGACTATAAACAAAGGATTATAGCATGTGACAAGTGGCTATTCAGAGGAAAGGAACCAGGGATACCATGGTGATAGGTATCAGTAAAACATTAGACTGAGTGCCTCATTAAAGTTTTAAATTAGTGCTTAAACCATCCAGCTGACAGAAGGCTGTGCTGGAGAGGCTCTGGTGTGTCCTGGGAGAGGGACAGGAGCTGCATCTGGGCAGGGAAAGGACATATTTTGGCAGATGATTGGTGCCTGTGTCCCAGCAGCAGCTAGGAAGAGAAAGGCAATATGCCTGGAAGATTCCAGCAAAAATTATGTCAGAGGGCTCCTTACTCTCTGCTCCCCAGGACTGTCACTTTCCCCTTCTTCACAGGGCTCAGGAAGGTGCAGGAATATTCTGGTGCAAAACCAGGAAGAGTCTAAGCAAGAGGGAATAGGCTGAGAGCTGAAGTAGCTACACAATAGGTTGGGGTCATCCCAACAACAGTATAAAAAGCCTGAGACAGAGAGTAGAAATTGCAAACTAGACGAAGACAGGATTCAACCTGGAAAACAAAGGCTATTCAGCAAGGAGGAAATAATTCACCAACTAACATTTGCCTTGACAGAGGAGGGAAGAGTTCTGGAAAGTCAAACTATATTGATCTTAGGAGAGCTAGAAAATTAGAGAAGGGGACACAAAGAAGTTAGCTAGAGAGAAGGAAGGCAACACACCAGCACCAGGAATGTGCATGCAGCTACCATGCCAGGCAACACAGAGCTGAGTGTGGGCCAGGAACCCACTGCTCAGTTCAGGGCTGTGGCTAACATGAGTGTCTGACATGCTGGGAGGAGACAGAAGGTGATATCTCCTTGTGCAACTATGGGTGATTGATTTGTGATGACAGTATGTGTTCCTTGTCTCTGAAGGGACATAGAAACAGTTTACAAACATTTGTAAGGCATACACCCAAGCAGAAGGGAGTGAAATTACTTAAGAGAAGACAAAACAAAGAGAGGGAAAACTGATGTTGAAAGTAACTTAAAAGCTTTTACCAATGAGTGCAGTAGGTTGTGAAATAACCCTCATGAAGAGAGCAGAGAAGAAGACAGGTATGGGCAGTTTTAAAGCTGGATAGGAAGAAAGTAAATGATACATGAGCAATGAAAGGTACATGGAAGAATTTGCTGAAATTATACCAAAATTCCTACCCACTCAATCTGTAGTTCCAGTTTTCCACTGCCCCACATCTCTTGCTATCATTAGTAGCAATGCAAAACTGGAAAATATTTATTAAAGCTTAACCTTATAGTACTGCTCCACCTGAGCACATTGATTTCTAGACATATCTAGCCAACAGAGAATTAGGATTTATAACTGTGTCTGGGAAAATGACTCACTAGCAGCAATCCACTTAAACTCCTCCAATTATTTCCTCCTTCCCCATCCCAAATCTCCTTTAGTCTTGATGAGGTAGGGATATGACTCTGTGTTTGGATAGTGTGTGTTAATGTCTCCTAGAGTCACATCCAGCTGCTTTGAAAAATCTCCTGACAAATCCCTTTTTAACTGCATTTGGGAGACCACTTACAGGGCTCCCAAAGATCCACATGGAAACATGAAAAGATCAAGGCCCAAATACAGTCCCAATGAAGGCTGAAACAGCAACATGCCAAAATCCTGGAGGAGCCTACACCTTACCTGGCATATACACTTACCAGCTTAATATTTCCCATGAGGAGGCAACACGGCTATAGCTTGCCAGCTACAGTGCTACAGCAAGTATTAATGGTTATCTCCACCAGCCAGAAGGCTGAGCTCTTCATACGGCAGAGCTGTTCCCTGGCCTGAGGATTTTTCACATGACTAATAACCAAACTTTGTAACTGTCCCCTGCAGACTACCATGATGATGAATGAATGAGATCAGACTAGTCAATATGGCTTATCGGTGGATGTTGCTCACTTGCTGTGGATGCATCATTACCCTGTGCATTCGTCAGCACAGTCTTTGCCTGTACAATATGAAATGACAACCAACCTGCAGCTTCTTCTCAGCTTTCTGCTAAGAACTCCCAAGCCTTTTTGGGTCCTTATTTTGCTCTGTATCCTTGTCTTGGGCCATCCTGGAAAGTCGTTTGGTGAATACCATATTCTTCTTTATTAAAGCAAAACATATTAAGGTGTACCTGTAGAAGTTAAATGAGAAATTGCTGAAAAATATCAACTTCATAACACAGTGACTAATGGTGCCTTTACTACTCCTGTCCTCTTCAGAGTTGCTCCACTAAGTGGCACAGATGCTCTGCAGCTCCACAAGCAGCACTGATCCTCTTTTGGCTGAATGATATTTCCACAGCAAAGCTTTCCTCAGCTCCACTGAGGCTGTTAAGCCCAGTATTCCTGTAGAAACCAGGGATATTTCAAAGTAACTGCAAGCACCATATTCAAAGTGGGTACTTAAAAAGATGTACTGTATTGCCTGACGCATCTCTGCATCAAGCAGAGATAGCTTACTTAGAGTAGCACAAACGGAATAGGGTTTCATGGTCGGAAACCGCTTTGAACTGAAATCTGAGAGCTTTACCATCCCCTTCCAGCTCTGGCATGAATTCCCTAGGCAGCCCAACGCAGGCACCTTCATCTCCCTGGGGCTCAGTTTGCCATCTGTGAAATTGGGTTAGCATCTCCCGTTCCTTCTTACACCCCTTTTATCCTTGTCTATATTAACGGTAAATGCAGATGGGCTTGTTCGTGTGCAAGAACAGTGCAAAATAGGGGGCACGACCATGAAAGTGCCGTTCATTTAGGGAATGTCTGTGGGGCAAGACGTGAGCTCGGAGGGGCAGGTGCAGGGCAGGACGCACGAACGAAGGGATGCGCACACAAGGAGCGGGGATGCTCGCAGGGACGGGCCCGGCCCCTCGCGGCGGGGAGGCGGGGCGGGTCCCCCGGCCGGCCGCAGCGCTG